TTGTAGTATAATATTAATAAAAAGAAAAGTAATTGTTTAATGTGATATTTTTAGAGAAAAAAAGAATTTGAACAGTAAAAATATATGGTAAAATCCACAAAAGAACACGAGCTAAGTGAACAAATCAAATACCATCTTATTTTTACTAAATTATAAAAAAAAACACATCTTATTCAAGGATGTAATTATCTATACACTTATTTATTGCACTATATATATGAATATAATATTATTCTCTCTTTCAACTAAAAATATCTTTTTTATCATTTTATGTTAATTCTACTAATTTTTTTTTTTTTTTTTTTTTTTTTATTGTAATAAGATTGTGTTTACTTTAAAGGATTAAATTATAATCCCTAGATTATTTCAATAGATTATATAATCAGTGAATAATTAGTATTCCCTTCGTTTCAATACAGTTGTTTTGTTTTTTTTTATTTTCGTTCGTCTCAAAACAATTGTCTTATTTCCTTATTTAGTAATCGTGGTTTCCACTTTATAACAAAATTATTTATACTTTTCCAAACTACCCCTAATCATTAATTTAACTTACTTTTTAAAATTATTAAAAAAAACAAGAGTATTTTAGTCTTTTTACGTTCTACTTTATACTTACTTTCAATTAAATATTATTATTCCTTAATTCATGTGCTCACTCCCAATAAGATATTTTTTCTAGGACGGAGAAAGTGTAATGTTTACTCTGTGTGATTAAGTATTAGATAAGTTATAGAAGTATTATATTGATATAGTTATTTTTTTTTTTACTCAAAATATTGTCATTGATCTTATTATCAATTGTACTAATAGTATAATTTATTTAATACAATTTTTCTTTCTGTTGTGATATTATAGGATTAGCCAATAGAAATATTAATTATCTCTACCACTAACCACTATTTTATATTTTGTATTATATCATATATTGTATATAATATATAAGTAGATAAGTAAATATATATATAGATGTGTGCGTGAGTGTATATATATATATATGTTATATGTAGGATAGTATATATATATATAATATTATATGATGTATGTATGTATATATATAAATATATGTATGTATGATACTATTGAAACTAACAGGGAGAATTGGAGGATTGGAGAGAATGAGTGGAAGGATGTTAGATTCATTTCATTATTGCCAATATTTATACACGACGAAATCCACGCTGAAGGAAATAAAAGCATACATCCTACCTATGTAGCGTTTATGTGTCTCGTACGTGGTTATTCTAACACTCCCCCTTGGATGCTTTTATACAAAGAATGTGCCTCGTTAAAACCTTATTAGGAAAAAACCCCGTGGGACAAAAAAATCCTAGTGAAGGAAAAAGAATACAACATTCTTGTATCGATTCGCTCCCCCTGCCTGATTTGAGCATTATTTGAGATCCCTTAACCGACGCATCCCAATTTTCTTCACCAGTTTTTCAAATGTTGCCGTCGGCAATGCCTTGGTTAATATGTCCGCTAAATTATTATCGGATCGGATTTGCTGCACATCAATTTCACCGTTCTGCTGAAGATCATGAGTAAAAAAGAATTTTGGTGAAATATGTTTCGTTCTATCTTCTTTGATGTAACCCCCCTTCAATTGCGCTATACAAGCTGTATTATCTTCATACAATGTAGTTGGGGGAATTTTATCGTCAGGTATTAACCCGCAATTTTTCAGAATATGTTGAGTCATTGACCTCAGGCAAACACATTCTCGACTAGTTTCATGCATTGCCAATATTTCAGCATGATTTGAAGAAGTGACAGTTAATGTTTGTTTCATCGATCTCCAAGATATCACAGTTTCGCCACAAGTAAATATATAGCCAGTTTGCGACTTGGCTTTATGAGGATCCGATAAATATCCTGCATCGGCAAAACCAATTAATTCATGTCGAGAATATTTCGAGTAAAATAACCCGAGATCAACTGTTCCTTGGAGATAGCGAAAAATGTGTTTAATCCCATTCCAGTGTCGTCGAGTAGGCGATGAACTGAATTTTGCCAATAAATTTACAGCAAATGATATATCAAGTCGGGTGCTGTTAGCAAGATACATCAATGCGCCTATAGCACTCATATATGGCACTTCTGGGCCAAGTGTTTCTTCATTTTCCTCTTTTGGTCTAAATGGATTCTTTGCTGGATCGAGTGCTCTGACGATCATTGGGGTACTTAGCGGATGTGATTTATCCATCAGGAACTGTTTTAGTACCCTTTTGGTATAATTTGATTGGTGGATAAAGATTCCACTTTCCAAATGCTCAATTTGCAGACCAAGGCAAAATTTAGTTTTTCCAAAATCTTTGATCTCAAACTCCCTTTTCAGATATTCAACAGCTTTCTGGATTTCATCAGGAATTCCAATTAAATTGAGATCATCGACATATACAACAATGATTACAAATTCAGATCCATTTTTCTTTATGAAAACACATGGACATATAGGGTCATTTATGTAACCTTCTTTTGTCAAGCTTTCGCTGAGACGATTGTACCACATTCGCCTGATTGCTTGAGCCCATACAAAGATTTCTGCAATTTGATGGAATATGATTCTTTTAGCTTTGATTTGAATGATTTAGGTATGTTTATCCCTTATGGGATTTTCATATAGACATCATTATCTAAGGAGCCGTAAAGATAGGCGGTAACCACATCCATTAATCGCATATCAAGATTATTGTGTACTGCTAGGCTCAACAGATACCTGAATGTTATTCCATCCATGACCGGAGAATATGTTTCTTCAAAATCAATACCCGGTCTCTGGGAAAAATCCTGGGCTACAAGCCTTGCTTTATATCTTGTGATATCATTATTTTCATTTCTTTTTCTCACAAACACCCATCTGTAACCAACATGTTTCACATTTTCCGATGTTTGGACTATAGAGCCGAATACTTGCCCTTTTTTCAATGAGTCCAGTTCAGACTTAATTGCGTCTTTCCATTTTGCCCAATCATCTCTTTGCTGACATTCATCAACTGATTTTGGTTCATAATCCTCGTCATCTTTCATTATATCAAGTGCTACATAATATGCAAATGCATTATCAATATTTGTTTTCTTTCTGTTCCAATATTTTCCACTGGTGGTATAGTTAACAGAAGTTTCAATAACTTCATCATCACTTTCATCAGCATTTTTAGTATCCACCTCTTCAGGGGTTGTACTAACCTTTTCAGGTATCTGATCATTGTTGATCTCTTCACCAGTATTTACAATTTTCTTCTTTCGTGGATTCTTGTCCTTGGAACCCAATGGTCTGCCACGTTTTACGCGGGCAGTATGCTCATTAGCACTCGGCACTTTTCCTTCTAGGATATTTATTTTAGCCGGAGCATTTACTGCTGCAATATATGATTTCGTAACTCTGGTAGCATCATTTAAAGGATCAGACAATTGATTTGCAATTTTCTGCAAATGCACAATTATTTGAACTTCAAGTTCACTATGTTTCGTACGAGGATCAAATTCAAGTGGTGTTTTCCACGAAATTTCTTTTTTCAGTTGATTACTGCCTCCCTCTAATGTCGGGAAATGAGATTCATCAAAATGACAGTCTGCAAACCTCGCAGTGAATAAATCAACCATTGTTGGTTCAAGATATTTTGCGATCGAGGGTGATTCATACTCGACATATATACCCAACCTTCTTTGAGGTCCCATTTTCGTGCGTTGAGGTGGTGCAATTGGCACATAAACAGCACACCCAAAAATTCGCAGGTGAGATATATTTGGTATTTTTCCATAAACCAATTGAGTGGGGGAATAACAGTGATAACTGGCCGGCCTTATTTTCACGAGGGCTGCTGCATGCAATATAGCATGTCCTCAACATGATACATGAAGTTTAGACCTCATCAATAATGGTCTAGCAATGAATTGCAATCTTTTGATAAGGGATTCAGCCAGGCCATTTTGCGTATGTACATGGGAAACATGATGTTCCACAGTAATCCCAATTGACATGCAGTAATCGTCAAATGTATGTGATGAATACTCTCCAGCATTATCTAGACGTATTTTCTTTATCGAGTGATCTGGAAATTGTGCTCGCAATTTAATTATTTGTGCAAGTAGTCTAGCGAAAGCTAGATTGCGAGTAGATAACAGGCATACGTGTGACCATCACGTTGATGCGTCAATTAGTACCATAAAGTACTTGAAGGGTCCACATGGTGGATCTATTGGTCAACAAATATCACCCTGAATTCTTTCCAGAAAGGGATTCAAATCCAACCTTTGTTGGAGATGGCCTGATTATTAACTTCCCTTGAGAACAGGCAGCACAAGCAAATTTATTCGGACTCAAAATATTTTTCTTTTTCAATGAGTGGCCATTTGAATTTTCAACAATTCGCCTCAGCATTACATTGCCAGGATGCCCAATTCGATCGTGCCAAGTTTTAAATTCGCTAGTAGCCATTTGGTCTACTAGGTGATATATTTCAATGGCACTGATTTTTGAATAATATAAGCCGGAAGAAAATGATGACAATTTTTCTTTCACAATTCTTTTGCCATTCACAACCTGAGTTATCAAGAGATACTCATTTTCTGCCTCATTCAATGTTTCAATGTGATACCCATTTTTCCAAATATCATTGAACCTCAGTAAATTCCTTCGAGCTTTGCTCGAGAACAAGGCATTTTCAATTGCCATTTTTGTCAATTTTGGGAGATATACAATAGTTTTTCCTGAGCCTTCAATCATTTTCGATGCACCACTGATAGTAACAATTGTGGTCTTTCTCATATTAAAATGGGAGAAATAACTTTTATTTTTTAGAATGCTGTGAGTCGTAGCACTATCGATAAGGCAGATGTTGTCATCGGCTCCAAAATATTTGGCATCCATATCTTTGCAAGAAGGTAAAAATAATAAAAGACATGTATTAGTAACATAATCAAAATCGACTTATATTATAGAGGGTAATACAAAAAGGGGGGCCAAAAAGCATCAAAATAATAGCTACAACAATATTTTATCATTTAACATCAGCAGCTATATCAAGCAGATCATCGGCATCCAGGTGCGTGATATTTTCATTCATCACATCGTCAAATGTGTCATCGTGGGCAGCGTGATTTGTTTCAGGGGCAATTCTTCCCTGTCTTTCTTTTGAGGCCCGATACAGTTCAGCCAAGTGACTGGCTGTGCGACAAACATGAGCCCAATGGCCTTTGATTCCACATTGGGTGCCTTCCTCGTCATTATTTCTGTTTCTCCCGGTGTTGATCCTCTGTTGAGGTCTGTACGGCCTTCTGTCATTATATCGCCGATTTGGCACATATCGGGACCTGTTTTGATAATTATTGTGATTGTATGCGTTTGCCCGGCCCCGTCCACGATTCTGATTTCGATCGCGATCAATTCGCTGATTTCTGAATTGCCCACGACCACGCACCAGATTTTCCGGTTGTATTGCATTTGCCTCTGGAAATGGATTTGCACCTGTCGGTCGAGATTCGTGATTTTTCAACAGCAATTCATTATTTTGTTCGGCCAGCAAAAAACAGGTGATCAGCTCAGAATATTTCTAGAAGCCTCTTTCGCGATACTGCTGCTGCAAAACCATGTTAGAGGCATGAAAAGTGGAGAAAGTTTTCTCCATCATATCAGATTCAGATACATTTTCGCCACAGTGGCGCAGCTGTGATGTTATTTTAAACATGGCAGAATTATATTCTTGGACTGTTTTAAAGTCCTGAAGCCGTAGGCTTTGCCATTCGCTTCGTGCCCTTGGCAACAATGTCAGCCTCAAATGATCATATCTTTCTTTCAATCTCTCCCACAATTCGAGTGGGGATTCCAGCGTGACATACTGCATTTTCAGTGCCTCATCAATGTTATGGCACAAAAAGATCATGGCCTTTGCACGATCTTGGCTCGGGGAGTTTTTATCCCGGACAATGGTATTTTCCAAGCCTATTGATGCCAGATGCATTTTAACACCGCGAGCCCATGCCATATAATTTTGGCCAGAAACGAGGAGATGGAGAAATTCCTGTTTGACAAGGTTAGTCATAATAAACAGATAAAATATAAAATATTACCTTGCGGAAAATAAAATATATAATCGTGCTGATAACGTGTTGTGATATTATAGGATTAGCCAATAAAAATATTAATTACTTTTACCGCTAACCACTATTTTATATTTTGTATTATATCATATATTCTATATAATATATAAGTAGATAAGTAAATATATATATAGATGTGTTATATAGATGTGTGCTAGAGTGTATATATATATTATATGTAGGATAGTATATATATATTATATTATATGATGTATGTATGTATATATATAAATATATGTATGTATGATACTATTGAAATTAACAGGGAGAATTGGAGGATCGGAGAGAATGAGTGGACGGATGTTAGATTCATTTCATTATTGCCAATATTTATACACGATGAAACCCCACGCTGAAGAAAATAAAAGCATACATCCTACCTACGTAGCGTTTATGTGTCTCGTATGTGGTTATTCTAACACTTTCTACTTTTTTTTGTTTTATTTTTATTTATATGACCTGAGAACATAATAGTATAACATATAAAAATATATTAAAATTTAACTTTGATACTATCATGACATAATATGTATATAATGATATGATATATTCACTACAAGAAATTATCAATTTTGTAACGAGATTTTTTCGTTACTAAATTCACTTTTTCTGTTACTAATGATATTAGAGACGGAATTAGAGATGGAATTACGTTAGCTACATGAACTTTAGGAACGGAATTCCGTTACAAATATACTAATTTTTTTATAGTGATTATTATTATTATTAAATATATTTAATTTTATCCTCAAAGTTATAAGTAAATTTTACTAATATATTTTATATTATTCTTATCACTTTATATTACTCAATTCGTCATTCAATTGTATACTCATTTGATCAAACACGGGTTTTAAAATAATAGATAAAAATAGAAACTGATATTTGTTTAAGTAAAGATTAAGTAGAAAAAACGGTATTTTTTTACCAAAAAAAAACGAAAATAAATTTGGATGACAACTAAAAAAAAATTAGATTTAAATGATATAGGAAGTTAATTAAAAATTAAAAAAATAAATAAAGTACATTTACAATGAAATCAAAATATACTAAAAAAAAATGTTATTATATTAGCATTCTTTTTGAAATAACCAACACACATTTTTTCAAAAAAATAATATATTAAATATACTTATTTATTTTTATATTATCTACATAATTTCCTAAAAAAAAATACAACCCTTTCAAACAAAACACAAAACAAACAAACCCATAATACTTTTTATTATCTAAAGGAAATGATAATTTAGATATTCTATGAAGTAAAATAAAAAAATACTAGGAGTTAAGATTATACTAATAATCATATAAATTAGTACATTTGTATGAGACTTTTAATTATATATAGCCCTAATACATTAAAGCAAAATAAAATTAGATTGGATTAAATAGTATTACTCACTCTAATATCATATAATAAAGACACCCGAATAGTAATAACGTATTAATAGCAAAATACTCCATACAAAGGGCAAAATGTAAAATAAATTTTTCACAGTTTTTACTAATAAATACTATAGTAAAACTCAAAAGCTTATGAGATGGAAGGAGTAATATTTTAGAATCCATATATATAAATAAAATTAATATATTAATTCCGAATGGGTGTGTTTGTTTGTGGGTTTTGAGTTGATTTTTGTTACGTATGAAATTTAGAATTAGGTTAAAAAGCCCAAGGTAAAAGAAAAATGGACCTAGTAATAGAGTTGATCGAACTGGCTAAAGGGCACCGTGGGGAACTCAAGGAAAATAGGTTAATTTCTAAGAAGAATGCAAGAAGGAAGGTCCTCAGGTCGGGAAGTCCTCAGGTCGGGAAGTCTTCAGGTCGGGAAGTCCTCAGGTTGGGAAGTCTTCAGGTCGGGAGGTTCTCAGGTCGGGAGGTCCTCAGGTCGGGATGTCCTCAGGACGGAAAGTCCGCAGGTCGGAAGGTCCTCAGGTCGGGAGGTCTGCAACTAGACCAGTAAGTCGGATGGTCTTTAGGTCGGGAGGTCTGCGACTAGACCAGTAAGTCGGATAGTCTTTAGGTCGGGAGGTCTGCAACTTGACCAGTAAGTCGGATGGTCTTTAGGTCGGGAGGTCTGCGACTGGATCAATAAGTCGGGTGGCCCGCAAGTCGGGAAGATTGGTAGTCGGGCCAATAAGGTGGAAGAGTAGTGTTCGGACCAAAAGGGCGGAAGGTCTGCGGTCAGTCCAAAGAGGCGGCTGCTGTTAAGAGTGGAATAGAGTGATAATGTTGGTCTGCTAAGGACATGTGTCAGCAGGAGAAGGGTTGACAGACGGTTAAAAAGGAGACGTTGTAACCGTTCAGGCGACGGTTTCCAGTACAATTTCTCAGGAAGTATTTAAGGATTTGGATTTTTTCTTAAGTAGGCATCTTCAATCAACTTCAACAAAGCAAAGTCAGATTTGGGGATCACCACTTTAATTTTCCAACATTTTATTTTCCAGTTAATTATCTTATATACCGTACAGTGTTTAGAGATTCCTAATCTCAGACGCTAATTAATCAAGTTTAAAGATATTTTCCATATCTTTGAATTTTACTTTTTTGTTTGTTGAAAAAATACATCAACAAATTGGCGACCACAGTGAGAGAAAGACAAGATTGCTGATCCTACATTACCAAAGAATTTCATACGACTGAGGTCAGGCCGAATCATCAGAAGGATCAATATGGCAGGCACACAACCTCAATCATCATCAGCACCGGTGGGAGAAAATGTTTCACCACCAGTCATGCCAAATTCAGGGGAGATCCCTCAACCACCTATCGATTGGTTGTCGTATGTTCAACAATTGAACAATCAGCATACTTCAGCGATGCAGAACATGTTGCGCGAGCAACAAGACATCATGTTGCGCGAACAACAAAATCTTATGCAGAACATGTTAGATCAAGCATTGTCTAGGGTTACTCTTCAACCCACCCATACGCCGCCAGGGGTGTCACCATCAAGAATGCAAGCGAATTTTGCAGGGCCATCATATGTGGACAACACACTTCCAAGCGCCACAAATTTCAACCGAATAGATAGGGGAAAGACTCCTCTGACTTTCCCAAATAATATTCCTTTGGGACCAAGGGTTGAAAATATGCAACCGAATATTACAAGAGAGGAAAGGCCAGGGGGATATGTGCAGGATCCCATTCATATTCCTGTGCAAAATCCCATTGATGTTCCTGATCATCAACAACTTCGTTTGGGTGATGAAATTGCTCACGTATTGAGGGTTCAATTTGGTCTAAATCCTCAGATGGCCAACCGACCTGCTTATCAGCGACCGTTTTCAGAAAGGATTATCAATGAATATCCTCTCCCAAGGAATTACAGACCACCAGATTTTCATGCTTTTTCTGGAGAGGATGGGTCCTCCACTATAGAGCATGTGGGGCATTTTGCAGCACAGTTAGGGGAAATTGGTAACAATCCTTTTTACAAGTTACAACTGTTTGGATTGTCTTTAACTAGAACAGTTTTTTCATGGTTTGTAAGTCTGCCACTTAGACAAATACAAACTTGGGAACGTTTAGAAATGGTGTTTCATGCCAGATTTTTCAATCCCCTGCCAACGGTTTCTCTGACTGATTTTTTGGAAATGAAACAATATCCGGAGGAATCAGCTTCACAATTTATTGAGAGGGTGAGATTAATGAAGGGACGATGTCCTACTATAATCAGTGAGAAAGATATGACCAACTTAGTGGTCCGAAACATGTATGGTCGTTAAGAGATGCACTCACTACACATGATGTCGAGGATTTGGCAAGCCTCGCTTCCAAGGCTGGACGTTTAGAATCTCTGTTCAGAGAAAGGGATCAGAATTTCAGGCGTAATAAAGGTCAACATATGGCTAGTATGGAAATAGAGGCATATGACTTTGATTATGATCAAAAAGAAAAGATGGCGGCCGAAATAATTTCAGGGAAACCTTATGTATGCTCTAAGTTAAAGCCAACACCAGGAACAGAAGTTAAAGGGCAACCGACCTTTGACAGTTCAAAGGCCGATGAAATATTTGATATCCTGTTGACTGATGGTCAAATTTGAATTCCAAAGGGACAGAGGTTGGCCACCAAGGAGGAAATTAAAGGGAGGCCATATTGTAAGTGGCACAATTCCTTCACACATAGTACAAGTCAGTGCACCCATTTTCGAAATGAGATCCATAAAGCTATTAAAGCAGGACGGCTCAAGTATATCACTTTGGGAGTAGAGCAGCAACCATTTCCAAAAGTAACCACAACGATGGTTAATATATAAGCAATTTCCAGAAAGGAAAAATGGAACACATCAAACAGTGTCCGACCATAGGAGAAACTCAAGGTTTGTGGAAAAACAGTGGCTGAAAAATGGGACAACCAAGATGGTTCTTTTAATATGGAATTAAAGGACCAGGTTGTAGTTCGGGACCACCCGACCAGGAAGACGGGTGCGGTCGGAAGCAAATGGACTCAAAATAAGAAACCACTACCAATTGATGTGGATCCTCGCTTCCCAGGCATGAATCGTACTCAGATTCGGAATGCCGAACGCAGATATGCTGCAAGATACAGAGACAAGGTTGCCTCATCAAAGCAACCGAACGACAACTGAGACACTGCAAAATATATTGAGCAAGGTCGGTCCATCAGGGTCATTTCGTTTGAGCAACCGAATGAGGCAGAGGGAGGTCGGTTTATTGGGGCTGCCTCATCAAAGCAGCCGACCAGCATTCGGGACAATGAGGGAGGTCGGACCATGCAGAAGAAAAGTAAAGGTTTGTCGGATGAAAGAGTTAAGGGTTTCAGATGTCAACATTTTGAGAAGGTTAATTTTAATCCATCAATAGAGGAGTTTCGTTTGGAGTCTCTGACTGTTCA